TAAAAAATTTAGTCATACTTCTTATTGAACAAACTTATAACATATTTTCCTTTGTGATTATGAACTAAAGATTGGAATTTTTTTTTTTCCTTCTCTTGGAGTTACTAGTTGTGACAGTGTTAGTGTTATAATAAGTAATGAGTGAATTAATAAACATATTTACAATATAAATACACACAAATATAAATACACACAAATCTAGTTTTAAAGTTTCAATTTCGTATTTAATTAATCTTTAAATTTTAAAAAGTATTTAATAGGTCTTTAAACTATAAAATTTATATCTAATATGTCAATTTTGTGTTGAATAGAATCAGATCTGTCAATTTAAATTTTGTGTCAATTTCGTGAATTTTTTTAAATGTTGATCAGATCAATGATCTATTATATACAAAATTACAAATTCAAAGATTTATTAGATATGATATAGAAAGTTTATGAACGGTTAGATACTTTTTAAATTTAGATGACCTGTTATATACAAAGTTGAAAGTTGGATGACCTATTAAGTAGGTTTAAAAGTTGTACTAAAGAAAAAAAACGTTTAAAAGTTAAAAAGACATATTAGATACAACTCTAAAAATTTATGGACTTAACTTATAATTTAATGTTTGGTTAAACCCCTTTTTGAACTATAATGGTTACAATAATTATATATCTACAAACTTTAAGTACAAAAAGTAAACCATCACATTTACATCATTGTAAAAATTGGAGCCCAAGTACCGAACTATGTCCATGAGAAGAATGTTGAGAGTGAAACCATAGGGTAAACCATCAAATTTGCATTATTGTAAAAATTAGGCCACGTCATTTACTTAATTAAAGATTTTGTTGTATAATTGAGCTCCAGTTCCATTAAAATTATGTTTATTACGAGGGAAATTCGTTCCCTCCCTCTTCTGCATTCTAACGAATCTTATTGTCTTTTTTGACTATAACATGTTGGAAGGAGATTTGAATATATGTCAATTATGGGACCCACGTCGAATCTAGGAATCTCATTCCATTCCTCTTCTACATCATAACCTTGAGGTGATATTGACCTTAGGCAAAATTTCGAAAGGGAGGCCTTCATTTTAAAAAATATCATTATCTACCATTTTTGTTTATGTTTTGATTTATCTATACCTATTATTTCTTCTATTATTTTATCATTTTTATTACTTTTACTTATACTACAAAAATTTATTAACAACATTTTTCCATATTCAATCCCTTTTTAGCACATCTGTTAGATTAAATAAGTTTTCATATTTTATGTTTTTTAAGCTTTTCGTATCCCTATTCATATTTTTTTTATAGACATATTAATATTCTGTATTGAAACAAGTAAGTAAATTTAAACAAATCTCAAATATTAACATATTGAAAAATATGAAATACATTTTCAAGAAAGTAAAAGAAATGGAATGAAAAAAAATTAAAATAATAAAGCTTATTTCTATTCTAACCATTTGGATTGACATAATTGAGTTAAAATTAGTATAACTTATCGAATATATTTATCATAGAGTATTTTTCTGAACAGAATTTTAAAAAGTTTACTTGTGAAAAAAATAAAAAAAAGGGAAAGAATATAGAGGATCTAATTTGAGAGAGCTTTGAAGGTTATGCTAATTTTTTTTTTTTTAATCAAGTTTGCAAGGTTCTAAACATGAACAAAAATATAAAAATAACAAATTTTAAAGGTATCATATTAGAATTGAGAGCTCTTTTGCATATGGTTTTAAATATCGAGAACCTCTTTTTCGAGAATGGAGTGTTAGTATCCGATAAATTTATGGTGAGGTTAATTCTTGTGTAGATTGACTTGCTAGTCTATGTAATGGGGTCTCCATGTCCTGTTTTGCCATTTTTTTAATCTTATCATTTTTTCTAGTTTGACGGGCTTTAGTCCCATTTACCAACAATATTATATTATATTATAGATACTAATATACGAAAAATATGAGGTCTTCTAAGATTGGGGCCTTAGTCAATTGCCTCACTCGCTTATACCTTAAGTCGGCCCTTTTACTAGACTTACTACTTTTACCCTTTCTAATAATACCCATAACTTTATTAATTATTTCTTTTTCATTTTTACTACTAATGTTTTCTCTTCTAATAAAAGTCTATACAATTTTTATTAGTTGGTATTATTATAAATTTATATTTAATTTAAAATTTTTTACTTTATTACTATTAATTAATATCCAAAAATTTTTAAAAATATAATTTATTGTTATTGAATATTAAAATAATAAGATTTTATATTAAATTTTTAATAAAAAAATATTTTAATTGAAGTAATTTTTATTTTAATTATCCCTTATTAATAATATTTGATAATTTTATTATAATAAACAATATTTACTGGAAATCATATAGTAATAGAATAAAATAAAATTAAGACAGTTTTAGTAAACAACATCAAATAAATTCTGGTTCCGATTCAAAAATTTTCTGGTAAAATTAGCATTCTCATACCGATTGATTTCAAAAATGGGTGTTTGGCTTTTGTAGTCCACCTTGTGTTTGGGTCGTGGAGTCTTAGAAGTACGAGTTTGATCCCTTCAAATCTGGAGTAGAACAATACTCCGCCTAACTTTATCGTTACATTCCAAATGACTTTCACATTTTTTATGGAGGTTGTTCTTTGTATCATAACTAATTGTCGTTTCAATGAGTTTTTCATCTCTACGTTCTCCCACGTCTCTATCCTCTTCCTTCCTTCTCTTCTACTAAAACTCTAACCCTCCATTAAGTCTATTTTTCATCTGGGTGTTCTCTCTCCATCATTTTCTATATCTAAATTTCTATGCTTATTCGAATATGTAGTCAAGACATATATCATCTATCAAAATATTAAAAGTTTGAATACTCATTCCTCACATATAATTGAACTAAAAAAAGATAATATTTAATTGAACTAAGAAAAGATTAAAAATATCATGTTTTTTTTTTCCTGAAATATCATGTTACATAGGATCACGTGGACAATATAATTTTTGAATGAGTTGCGCTGCCACACCCTATAGCTGAGCTATATATATATATATATATATATATATATATATATATATATATCAAATTCTAGTTTAGCGGTGTTTTTATTTGATAACTGTCTCGTCTTCCTTCGATAATTTATCCATCGACTTCAAATTGGAAAAATTGCTTTGTTCAACATTAAAAGCCCTCATTAATGGCTTCTCCCAACCGCGGCTTATTCACCACCACAAGCCTCTGCCGATGCCATTCTCAAATCTTCTATAAAATGTGAAAGTCCTCGTCCGACTCCGAATCGTTCACTCCGGCCGCGCAATTTCATCTTTCTGATCTCCATTTCCGAAACCTCTCTCTGTCTCCGTCTCGGCGGTGGAATCGATGGACGGCGCCTCCGATAGCCTAATTTCCGGTGTGAAATTTTCGTCAGTGGTTCCGGCGAAGGCGAGCGGCGAGAACAAGGTCCAGGAACTGACGGCAATGGATCTCGTGATGAAGCTTCATTACATTAGAGGCGTCTATTTCTTCAGGCCAAGCGAGGAAATAAGGAATTTGACGATTTACGATCTTAAGAAACCTATGTTCCCGCTGCTGGAACTTTATTTCGTCGTCTCCGGGAGGATTCGGCGGAGGATCGAAGCCGGCGGCAATCGGCCGTTCATCAAGTGCAACGATAGTGGAGTGAGGATCGTGGAAGCCGATTGCCAGAAAAGTATCGACGAGTGGCTGTCGATGGAAGATGAGAAGTACTCGCATCGCGATCACGGCCTGGTTCACAGTCGAGCGCTCGGTCCCGATCTCGGATTTTCCCCTTTGGTGTTCATCCAGGTACGATTCGCTTTAACAAAAATCACTTTCCGAAACAACAGTTGATATTTAACATAAATAAATTAGTAAAGCAGAAAATAAGATCTTGTGGAACTCTCTGGAATTGCAGATGAATTTCGTTGTATGCGATTTTTTAAATTTTTAAATGGTTTAATCTTTTTTTCCCGTTTTAACAATATGTACTGAGTTTTTTGAATTTTAAAATTTTAAAATTTCAGTTAACTTTACTCAATACTATCTTGTTACGAAAATAATGGTTAGAATGTAACATTTACAAAGATCTCTTACCACGCGCCCATGTTTTTTACAGTTCAATAATATGGAGGGTGAATATTCAAAAAAAATGTGGGGTGAAAATTCACACTTTCAACTCCTTATTTATTAACCAATTCAAGTATAATAATGAAAAATGAATTATTTATAGTTATCTTTAAAGTTTTCAAAATTTTATGACGTTTTTCTAAGTACTCGAAATTTACTAACTTTAAATATAAATGTGTATAAAATATTGTTGGCTAACAAAATGAAGAATGGGATAAATTTTGAGATTAGGACTATAGGTAAATTTTAATGACAAATTAAGTTAATTAATAACAATCTAGCATCTATGTATACTTGGAGAAAGTAATTAGATTTAGTTAATGAAGGATTTAATTTCATTAACGAAATATCTTTCTTTTTCTTAAGAAGAGGACAAATAAAATTTAGATAAAACTTAATTGATTAAGACTTATCTGGAAAAAAATTGAAGGCTTTGCCAATTGATTGTGACATGCTTAAACAAAATATAAAAATTAAGAAATATTATTAATTAAGAATATGACAGCACGCAACTACGAATGATGCAATATAGGAGGTTGGGTATTTAAAGAAAATGTCAAAATTCCTGAAGCCAAAGACTCCTCTTTCAATGTTGACACGTTGGACTAATTTCTCCACCTATCATTTAAAGTTATAGAAGTCTCACGTGATACGATTGAAAACTTTCTCCCTTTTATTTTTTTTTTCGTTTTTGAAATAAATACGTGTAAAATTAATGAAGAGTGCCATCTCGCCATATATCCCGATTTAAAACCAAACCACATCTGATTATTTATATACACCCAACTGTAAAGGTAAAAGTACGATAGACAATAGAATATAAGGAAACGATTTAATAGCTTGTCAGACACTTTAGTTTTAAATTTTAAAATTTAAAATACAGAATTACATTAAAAAAAATAAAATTTTTAATAAATAACTATTTCGTTGTAAACTCATTTTATAATACATTATAAATGATATAATACAGTAAATAATAATTATACAAAATTTATAATAGATGTGAATAAATTAATTAATTATATTTTATATATATTTATAATTAATTTATAAATATATTATTAAACACACATTAAATAATTTAATTTTTTAAAATATTAAAACATAAAGTCTCTTTCATATTTTCAGTATTAAAATTTGAAAATACGAAAGAGACTCAATGTTTTGTTTTTTCCATTGTTTCTAAATTACAACTTTCTATTTTTATATCACCAACTCAATCAAATGCACCTCAATTTTTTAATTTTTAAAGTCATAAAAAAATTTAATTCTCCTTCAAAATTATATATTTTAGTAATTTTTTAGTACACCATGTGGGTCCCTTAACTTTTTAATTTTTAAAGTCACATAAATTTTTTTAACTCTCCTTTAAAATTATATATTTCAACAATTTTTTAGTACAACACGTGGGGATAAGGAACTATTATAGTTTTGGCTAAATTTTTTTTTGATTTGTTCTCTTTTAATAAACCCAAATTATCATCTAAGTTTTTAGATATTACCAAATAACATGGTTACATTAAATCTCCAGTGTCAGAGAAAGTATAATCTAAACAAAAATTCTAAAATTATACTCATGTAAAAAGAAAGTTAAAATATGAGAAATTAAATTGGAACTTTTGTGTACACTGCACCAGCTGACTCGGTTCAAGTGCGGCGGACTCGCCGTGGGACTCAGTTGGGCTCACGTCCTCGGAGACATATTCTCGGCCTCCGCCTTCATCAACGTCTGGGGTCACATCATGAACAACCGCCGCCCGGTATGCCAGCTCCGCACCCACACGCCCACCATCTGCCGGCCGTCCGGTTCAACCACTCAGACTCGGTCTCCGGTTAAGCGGCTCGACCAGACTGGCGATCTCTGGATCGGCTCCAGCGACTGCAAAATGGCGACGCGGTCGTTTCGAATCATGGAGGAGCAGCTGGAGCGAATCTTGAGCATCGTCCGCCGAAATCGAGCAGTCGCCTTCTCGAATTTCGAAGCTCTTGCTGCGATTTTCTGGAAATCTCTGTCCAAAATACGGCCGGACTCGGATCTGAAGACGATCTCGATCTATTCGACGAAATGCCCCAACAGAGAAGGCGAGATCCCGATGAACGGAATGGTGATGAGCGCCGTCAAAGCCGATGCGCCGGTCACCGGAGCCGAGGAAGGTGCGTTGGCGGAGCTGATTCTGGAGAAGAGGATTGACGAGGGCGGAGAAATCGAGGAGCTGGTGGAGAAAGAAATGGAGGAATCGGACTTCATAGCGTATGGAGGAAGATTAACGTTCGTCGATTTGGAGGAAGCGAACATCTACGGCTTGGAATTGGGAGGACAGAAGCCAGTTCATGCGAATTATGAAATTGGGGGAGTTGGCGACGACGGCGTCGTTTTGGTGCTTCCAGGGCCACCGCGTGATGGCGGAGGATACGGCGGTGGCCGTAATGTGACGGTGATCATTCCGGAGAAACAGCTACCGGCCCTGATCGATGAGCTGCAGAAGCAATGGGCGATTATTTGAAATTGTGGCCGCTCTGTGAAGAGGTCAATCTCACATAAAACAATAATAATAATAGTAATAACTTTTGTGATTAAAATTGCAGTTTAAAACAATAAATTATTATTATTATTTTTTATAGGAAAACAGTACGATTTAAAACGAGCTTGAAATATAATAATTACATGTAATTTAAAAAATGTAATTAGATACTTCCCCAAGTTAATTTAGATATAATTTCATCTGGAGCCCACATGGCAATAACTTAATCATTTTAATTTAGTTACTGTACTTTCAAATTATTCATTTTTTTCGCTGTAGTTTCATTGTTTTTCACTCTTTCCTTTCAAAACATTTATTTTGATATCTATTTACAAAATTTATATACCTTACGAAATATTTCATACAAATTTATCGCTACATTTTAAGCATTACATTTTAACCATTTCACTACATTTTAAGCATTACATTTTAACCATTTCAGAGCATAAATTACTTCATTTAAACCTTCTAACAAAGAACGGTCTATATTGTTTGTAAAAAAAAACAAAACAAAAGGGATTTATAAACTCGTGGTGGAAACTATTAATTGTATGGTTCTGTTACTTCTGTACATACTTTGCAGATTGGTCCAAATCCACTGGGAGACGGTCCACGGCCAGAGCTGATGAAGGTGACATGACAATAGAACCATACTAGGAAATACATATTTTTTGAAAATAATTAAATTCCTTTCACTTTTCCTCGTCTTGAATTTCCTGCGTCTTTATCACCATCACGAACTCGTCTTTTTTTTTTTTTTGAGACAAAGACCATTATGAACCTTTAGTTGCCTCTTTAGTCTTCTTACTTTTATTATTATTGCATCTTAATATATGCATATTCAAATTTATATATAAAGTTGTTAGGTTTATTAACATAACTCAACGGAATTGATACATACTTTTTCCATTGAGGTCGAAGGTTCAAAATTTTATATACTTCAAATTTGTATAAGTACATGTTTGGCAAATTACAAATTTGTCTTTGAACTTTCAACCCCAATACGTGTAGAGGCTTGCAAAAGTCGTCATGTCAGTAGACTTTTTTTTAGTACAATTATGTGGAGGGTAGAGATTTGAACTGATGCCCTTTTAGTCGGAGAGAGATATGCCTTAACTAGTAAGCTATGCTTATGTGACGTACGTCATCAAACTAGTATTCGTAGCGGGATGGGTTGAATATTTATTTAATATTATATTATTTTTAATATACGTGCCTTATTTTGTATTTTATTTTTTTCTCTCTTTTCCCCACTTTGCCTCCTTTCTCTCTCTTTTATCTCTCCCTTCTCCCCTCCTTGCTTCTCTCCTCCTCCCACCTGATTCTAATCCATCACGCGTATGGTCCTCATTACTCAATTATGAATGCGCTTAAACATCGTAGGCAGTGATCCTTTTACTTCCCTTGCTTGTTTTGTTTTCTTGTCTAATTTTGGAACAGTTAAAGGGATTTTGAACTTTCGGATTAGCCATGTGGGTTTGTTTCACTCTGTTTTCAGCCCAACACAGAACGTGTTGGTTTGGTTGTTTTAAGCTATTCTGGGAAGTGATAAGTGGGAATTGCTGAATCTTGAAGTTGCTCTGTTTTTTGCTTTATCTCATTACCTGCAGAAGCCATGGCAGCTTGTTTTCACTCGTCCCGCTGCATTAGCGGTGCTTATTGAAACATCTTTTTTTTATTATTATTTTCTTTAGTGTAACATCTTGGGTTGGGAAGGAGATTCGTACTCATAATCTCTTGGAGGTATATGTCAATTAACGTTGAGCTATCTTCATTTTGGCATTGAAAGTGGAAGTTCGAATTCGTGACCTTTTGGTCAGAGATAGCTGCATTAACCATTTGAACTATGCTCGGTTTGGCGCTGTTCTTGTTACATTAAACATTAACAAAATCTACTTAGGCGAAGATGAATACTAATAGCAAAAAATTTTTTAATACAATACGTGGAAGGAGATCGAACTCACAATCATTTGGTTGAAGATATATTAGAATTACGAGCTATGCTCGCTTTGACTTATTGAGATTAAATTGACAATTTAGGACAACATAATATATTTTAAAACCTATACCTTAGATAACAATTTTTATGTGTACCTAATTGTCAAGTATCTTATTAAATTGTCAAATTATTATGTATTTTTTTATGGCTTTTGAACATTTTTTTTAATACACGTTGAACAAATATTCGAACTTACGATATTTTGATCGGAGATAAATATTTAACAAGTTAAATAAGCTTAGGTTGACTAGTATTTAGGCATATTTATTCCATGTGTTTCAAAGTATGATTATTAATTAATTTTTTTGTTGTGTATGTTTTTTTTTTCAAACTAATTAGAACACATAAATGAAATATATTTAAGAAAAATTTTAAAAGTCAATAAAGTAAAGTTTAAAAGAATTTATAAAAATATCAACACCAGCATAACTATTGTATTAAAAAAGTTGGAAGTTTGTATTGGACTCTTGCATATTGATCTAATTTTAAAAAAGATATTTCCTAAAAAAAAATACAAAGATATGAGTTCTCCTATTCCAACTGTCTATTTTATTTTATAAATTTTTAAATTTTTGGTCAATTAATATGTCATCAATTTATATCTTTAATTAACTTATGTAGCTTCGATATTCACTGTATTGGTGAAATTTAAAATGAAATAAACTTAAAGAGTTTTTTATTTTTATTTTTATTTTTTTGTAAAGTTTTATTTAAAAGATTAAAAATCAAAATAAAATAAATCTTAAAATTAAAGAATTTAAATGAGTTTTGTCGAGAGAAAAAATAATAGAAAGGAGATTATTTTACGCTTAGGAAAACAACCGTAACTTCAGAAATGATGGGTAGGAATATTTTCCAATTTTCCTTCAAAAAAAAAATAAAAATAAAATATATATATATATATATATATATATAATTTTTTTTCCCCAATTTGCCCCAAAATCGTTACTTCCAGTTCCAAATAGCGATCTATTCGGTTTCCACGAGCGCCAATTCTCTGCCAGCGTGTCCACCATCGAGCCCTGCACCCTCATCACCGTCGCCGATAAGTCCGTAATTCTGCTGCAACTGCAACGTTTTAATTTCCCTCTCCGGCTTCGTCTCATAACAATTTCCGAGAAGCGATTCGAGTCTCGTCGGCGACGGCCCACTGCCGGTGCACCTCTAGGTCCTTCTTCTCTCTATCGTTCTTTCCTTTAAGTTTTCAATTCATTGCTTCGCTCTTTTCTTTAAGATTCCATAAGTTTCTCTGTCTCGTTCTAGTATTTGCAGGGTTTAGGGTTTTGGCCGACTTCCGATCATAGTATAATTGGTTACTTTTGCTTCTAAGGCTTCTCTGATTCTTGCTCTTCATATGCGATTTCATCATGGGCTCTCTAATGATTGAGAGAAAAGAGAAGCAAAAGAAAGGGATAATTAGTAGTGAGGATGATATTTCCACTCTACTCGAAAGGTATCAGGCCTTCCCATTCCTAATTTCCTACTCTGTAGTTTGTACTCCATATTATGGAATTTTGGTGATTTTTCCATCTGTTTTTTGTTTGTGGTTTATCGTTATTGCTGAGTTTGTATACTATACGTCACGTAATTGGATGCCTTTAATGAGGGCTGTTTTTGGCTTGTGGGGCAGATATTCGGTAAGGACGATACTGACATTGCTTCGGGAGGTGGCCCAGGTTTCGGAAGTGAGAATTGATTGGGACAAGTTAGTGAAGAACACGTCAACTGGGATTTCTAATGCTCGAGAATATCAGATGTTATGGCGGCATTTGGCTTATCGTCACACGTTACTGGAGAATATGGATTGTCTTACTGGTCCACTGGTCAGTGTAGCAGTTTGCCTCAGTGACATGGCTATCCCTTTATTTTTAAGTACAAATTTGTGGACTTAGTTCCTATTAGAAATCAATCATGTGATTTGAAAAACTAGAAATAAGTTTTAGAGAAAGATTTGAAGATGAATATGATTAGTTCTATTTAGATGTTGACCAAAATGCTGACCGAAATGGTAAGAAAATGATGATTTTACTAATATAGCTTATTTTAATCATAATTGTTTAATATCCCTTTGGGGACATCCCATAAAATCAATCATAATTGTTTAATATGAAAAAATAAAATCTTATGAGTAATTCTGCAAAATTGACTATTCTAGTCTTGATTTTTTTAAATTCAAAATCGGACCATTTTAGAAGATTTTACGTTCTTATTATAGTTCTAACTTCCGAGAATGTGTGAAGATATGATCTGTGGAATGAAACTTTGTGGTGCTTAAAAGTTTTCAGCTATTGGTGATACATTGACTCTGTTATGAGTTGTATGATCTCCGAATTCATTCTCATATTTTGCCACTTCATTTATGCCGTATGGAGTGTTTTTGTTTATTTTGTCTGATCCACTGGTCTTGTTCCCTGATATTGTAATTTGTCTCGTTGTGTGGCTGTGAGAGTCCATTCCTCCAGTAACTTATATGATTATGGTTGCATATTCACTTTATGATAGCATTATGAAACAAAATTTTGACGTTTGAAAGACTTTCTGTTTGTTGAAACCACTGGAAAAATTGTTGCATTACAACTGATATACATGGCATGAGTCTAATTTTCTGGAGGAGAAATTGTTGAATTCCATGGTATGTGCTTACAATTGATACAAGCCACGAGTTTAATTTTGCTCAGAAAAGATGCTCATAATTTGAACTTGTTGCATTACATTAGTGATTCTCTTATCTAGGCGTTTGGTTTACAGGATGATGATAGTGATTTAGACTTTGAAATAGAGTCTTTTCCATCAGTGAACAGCGAGTCCTTAAATGAAGCTGCAGCATTTGTGAAGGTCAGTCCATCAGCTCATGGAACAGTTTTTCTTGAACTTTGATGTCCTCAAAATTCGATATAAATGCTTTCCCAGACAGTGATAATTTGCTTGTAGTTCTAGATTTAGCTAAACTATTTTATGTGAACATAGACTGCACCTTTAGTTTCAAATTAATGTCTTGGCAGGTACTGATTGCCAATGCTATACCGAGCGAGTCAGATATTCCTAGTAGTTCTGCAGTTGAGGCCCCATTGACTATAGGTATATCCAATAGTCAATCATCTAGAGCCAATCTTGAAAATCCTCAATCTGGTTGTTTGTTGCAAGAGATGTATGTTGCAATTCCAATTTCCATTCAGAGACAGCCTATTTCTTCTACACCAGCCGTATCAACTGAAGTATTTGATGTGAATGGAGCAGCCGGTGGTAATGCAGCTTCTCGAAAAAGAAGAAAACCCTGGTCAAAGGCAGAGGATATGGAACTGATTGCTGCTGTTCAGAAGTGTGGTGAAGGGAACTGGGCGAATATCTTGAAAGGAGATTTTAAGGGGAATAGAACTGCTTCACAGCTATCTCAGGTGTGTTCTTTCATTCTTTCTTTTCCAATGCAATCTCTGTTTTTGTACATTCTGCTCTATTCTCCAACATTTTTTTTTTATAAGAAACAATTTATTGAATAAAAAGGAGGGGAACAAAAAAGCCTAAGGACAAGGGACAAGACATCCCTCTCCCAAAAGAACGCTGAAAGAGAAGAGCTCTCCAACCGTGTAAGATTTGAGATAGGCTGCAATAACAAAAGAATTTTCTGTTCCTATGACACCACCAAGATGCCGTGATATGGATACTATTACAAAATGAATCAACCGAATTGGCCTTATCCCCTCGAATGACCAATGGTTCCTTTCTGACCATATTTGGCACAAGAGGGCTCTAAAAGCATACCCCCACAATTCTTTACATTTGCCGTTGAAACTCCATCCTTGAAAACGTTCTGCCAACCACTCTTCAATCCGCGTAGGCATACACACAGGTATCCTAAACACTTTGAACAAAAACTGCCGCCCCCTTTCAGGAAAAGAACAATGCAAGAAAAGGTGAGCTAAAGATTCCTCATTCCCCATACAGGGGCAGCAGACAGAAGGGGATATTTGCCACTCAAGGCATCTCTTTTGTAACCTTTCGTGCGTGTTCAAAGCTCTATGAGTGAGGGACCAAAGAAAGACCTTGATTTTCTTAGGTGAATTGTCTTTCCAGATTCCGTTGATCAAAGGGGACTGTAGTTTTGGGGTAGTTTCCATCAACTTCAGAAAAGAGGACTTTGTGGTAAACTAGCCGTCCTCCTCCAAAGACCATCTGGCTTCGTCCACCCCCTCCCCATGAACAACTGGATCCAGAAGCTGAACTAATCTTAGCCAACACTTTTGGTTTGTATTTTGGTACTATGTGATTTTGTAGACAGTCTATCGTCCCCATCCATAAATATATTGATAGATTTTACTGAAATAATGATGTTTGTATGTATCAATTTCCATGGAGGAGATTCTTATGAATCCAACCTTTCGAGATAAAGGGGATAATTCTTTGGCATGCGTATTTGGCTTGAGATAAATGGTAGAATTTTTAGAGGGGTTGAGAGGTCTTGAGAAGAGGTTTGGAAGGTGGTTAGGTTCAACTCTTCCGTTTGAGCATCCGTCTCTAAGCCGTTTATTAATTATCAGTTAGGTCTTATTATTTTGAATTGGAGTTTTTTCTGCGCCGTTAGATTTTGGGCTCCTTTTGTGGGGTTGGTTTTTTGTAGTGCCCTTATTTTTCTTTCTTGGTTTTTCATTAATATATAAATGTATATGTATATGTATATATGTATATATCTATATCTGTATATATATATATATCAATTTCAATGGAGACCATGACTTCTTTAGAAATAAATTATCCAATATTATATCACTTTCACAAATACATTCCTTATATATTCTATCGACATATTATTGGCGATAAACTTCAAAAGATGAGCCTTAAAAAGTTGCTTCCTAACTTGTTGTCTAGTGAGGTCTTGATGTCTGGAATTTCACCCAGTTTTCTGGGTTCAAATCCTGGCAACGGTGTGTTTATCATGTGAAGCTAAACGTTTGTGATGCTCTAAGCATGTAGTTTGTTTAAGCAAAACTTTGAAGTCTTATTTATGTCATTGAATATTCTTTATTCTCCCTTTATTTCTCTATTAATTTTAGTTTCATTTTCTGTAGAGGTGGTCCATTATTAGGAAGCGACGCTGTAATTTGAATGTGGGAGCTAACGCCACAGGTACTCAGATATCTAAAGCTCAGATTGATGCTACACACCGTGCATTGTCCTTTGCGCTTGATTTGCCCGTGAATAACTCGAAAACAGGTTGCTCTATTGACCTTGATTACTCCCTATCGACGTTTCAACTAAACTTCAGTTATTTATGCTTGATAACAACATCATTTTTGTTTTTAAAACGTACGCTTACTTCCTCACAATGGTGAAACATATTTGAATTTCAAAAACAAAAAATAAGTTTTTGAAAATTATTATTTTCAGTTTTTAAAAAATTTGGCTTGGGTTTTGAATTATTCTTAAAAGGTAGGATAGAAAAACACGGTAGAAATAGTGGAAGCAGTGTTTTTTTTTTGTAAACAAGAAACAAAATTCCCATTGTTCCTCTCTGGATATAAAACGCCAAAGGGGAGCGAAAAAGAAAAGAAAACAACCAACGAAAAGCCAAAAAGATGCAAAAATGATTAACTTAGACGACAACTGCACCTGAAAACCTAGACAAAAAATATTCCCGTTAAGACTAAAATCCTTTCTTCAAAACAAACACATAAAACACTTTCTTCAAATCAAACCCAAACATTAGAGGTTGAAATCATTAGTCTTGATTTCAGAGAGCAAATAGTGGAAGTAGTGTTTAGAAACTTAGTTTATCTTAGTGGATCCTCCTTCGGTAAGTTTATTTTATACTCTGGCTTGAATCTTCAGTTTTTCTTCTATAAAAAATAGTGGAAGTAGTGTTTAGAAACTTAGTTTCCATTTTTCAAAAATAGAAAATCAAAAACAAAATTGTTATCGAATGAATCAGCCTTATTTATTAGCTTTTTAAATTTTCATTCGGAGTGAAAATTAACTAATGGATTAAAAAATATTGATGCCAGGACTCAATAAAAAATATTCAGAGATAGATAAGTTAACGTGATATTATTGTTTTAAGAATGATATCTCAAGTTTGAGAAGTATGGTTGTAATATGTTTTGTTGCATTTATCATCTCAATATTTTCTTTGAGCAGAGTATTCAAACATAAACAGTTGCATTATCTCTTCTGCAAGTGGTGCCGAAGCTCCGGTTCAAATGCAGAATCAGTCTCCTCAGATTCCCAAGCCTTCAAGGCCAGTGCTGGTAGAGCCTTTGCCTTCAGCAGTGAAACCTGGAATCGACACTTCCAAGAATGCATTGATGATGAAGTCTACTCACAATTCCGATTCTATAGTTCGAGCGACCGCAGTTGCTGCGGGAGCCCGCATCGTTTCTCCATCAGATGCTGCATCTCTACTGAAGGCTGCACAGGCAAGAAATGCCATTCACATAAAGTCCAGTTGTGCCTCTTCGATCAAACCACCTGTGCATGGTAATGCACCAATTCACTCGGATCCACGCCCTAACATACATTACATTTCCACGGGAAAATTGGCATCTCCAGGTTCGAACTATGTCGGTGGTAAACCGAATGTGGTATGTAATAACTCAGTGAAGGCCATCTCGCCAATTGTTCTGCATCATCGTTCCACTTCTGCTATTTTGATGAATGTGCAGTCAGACCAAAGAAGCCCAGCAACCGAGTCTCCGTCGAAGCGAGAGATTAAGAGTTCAGAAGAACGCAAAATGCCTGAGCCGGTTGCAACTCCGAAAGAGGAGGCTCGAGAATCCGAAGCTGTTCGGGGAGGAAACTTTGCTACCGAAAGATCAGATGGGGAATTGAGAAGTCTTTCAACTTGCATTGAGAATCACAATGGTTCAAATACGGAGATAGATGAAAATGGTATTAAAGCAGGATGTTCCGAGCAGGTCGAAACGAAAAAGAACGCAAATGATGTCGAGATTAGGGGTTCACCAGACACTCAAGGAAGCAAGAATGAATCCGTAGCAGATATTGTGGGCCATAGCACACAAAATGAACAGATGAACTTGAAAGCATATATTAGAAGGTGAATGCATAGACAATTTTTGAAACCATTGTACAAATGATGAATAAACAGTGAAGGCACAAAATTTTCTGTAGGTGTAAATAAAGAGTGAATCTTGCAGTTGCAGTGATACGGAATTCCATGTTCTCTTACTAGAGAGTGAAAATTAATTTTCCAGTTTTTTTTCTCAGAATTTTGTGTAAATAAATATCTCAATGGCAAGACCAACATTTGTAAGGTCATCATATTCAACATTTGTATGTAGGTTTCATTGTAAGTCCCTTTTTTTTTTAAGACTTCATTAAAAGAAAAATTGCACGCAATTCTATAACTTCCACACCTTTTTTTTTCCCTTTTTTCGTGAGTGTTCGGTTTACATGCACTCTTGACCTTAAAACATTTGGTGTCGAAAAACATATAAGAATTACTTTCTAAGGTAGGTAAACTCATTATTACATTCTAGGATGGATATATGCATTTTACAATATTTAAAAGCTTAATTGAAAGTTCGAGACTATGATTGTGCAATCATTTTTTGAAAAATATTTAGGTGATAACCGGTGAGCATTTTTCTCTATGTAATCAGTTCATTATTTAAAAAATATATATATCTATTTTTGCATTTTTCTCTATTATTTGTTAAAATTTTAATAGTGGCCAGTAACTACATATTTTCCTTTTTTTTTTTTAAGAAAGATCACAAAAATTAGTCGAGGCATCTAGACGAGTGTATCCAAAGCCTTTCTCCTATCTCGTAAACAAGAGTGATACAACAAAAGTATGAGTCTTTAGATTTAAAAAGGAAACAGAAAAAGAGAGAGAGAGAGAGACAGAATTTATATCTAGTTTTGAATCTTGATCTGTAATTGAAGGTGATAATTCATTGTTGAAATAATTGGCATTGAGTTGGTTTCATGATATCTCAGGAAATTACACCCCCAAAAGAAGAGCTCATCACTGGGGTAGGGGCCCATTGGCTAGATCACTATATTGTTTCTCTAGTTGAGGACTTACACATGAAAACAGTGATGGCTTCTGCTTCTTTAACTTAACCCCAAACAAGAAAGACCGTAGCGGAATTCGCGTTCGGCTTAGCGATTGTTTCGACTGAGCTTGAATGCTCTTTGCTGCTGAAATGCCAAAGTCTTGGTCGAGTTTTTCCAAAGCCTTCTCAACTTGGACCTGAAGTACACGTACTCGTCCCTGACCCACGTTTAGTTCATCATCGATCTTCCTGTTTTCCTGTTTCATGTTGAGAACTTCTCCTTGAAACTTTGCAGCCTGATACTCACTCAGTTCTCGTTCTGCATTTTCTTCATCTGAACCTTCATCTGTGATTCTTGATATGTCGTTTTGTATGTCGCATAACGATGTGAATCTACTGGATAGTTCATCTTTCAGTACTGCACTGTGTTCCAACCAGAGGGATAATTCAGTTTGAATCTCTCTCAAATGTGTGTATATCGGCCGGGCTTCGGATTCCATCGAATTCTGTTTCACACTTCCTTCTTGCTTGGGGTTTTCTTTCAACTTCTGTATCTCTGATTGCAGATCCTGGATTGAAGTTTGGAACTTCTGAATCTGGTGGACTGTAGTGCTAAATCGCAGCCAGAATTCGAGATTCATCTCCAGTTGCCCGTGGATATGGGAGCGGAATCTTTCTTCTGTGGGTGACATGACAATTGATTTATCAGCCCCATTTGACTTCTTGTTCTCATTCTCTTTTTTTGCAAAGCTTCTTGAATCCCTCAATGGTTTGTGGCTTCTATCGTCTGCAGGCTCGGTTCTTGGTTCACCATACAAATCGCCAATCGTAACTCGAGCTATATATGGAGATGGGGATTCAGAGTACATCGAGCTAGGAGCATCATGAATGCTTTCTTGGGGCTGCTCCTGGTCCACATCTGTTGCATTATTCTCAGATTCTGCATTTGTTTCAGCATTATTCACCAATGATTTTATAACATCGTCTTTTGTGGAAATGGCATCTTTCAATTCTTTAACCTGCATCGCCAATTCGAAGATGCTATCGCGGTTCTTCTGTTCGACTTCGCTCAACTTGTTTCTTACATCTTTATAGTCCCTCAGCACTGAAGTATACTCCTCCAGTAAAAGCCTCTCTCTGTCTTCTAATCCTTTCAAGAACAGCTGCCTCAAGGTTGGATGTTTTTGTTCCTCCTTTGATCCCAATTCATTTGCCTCCTCCATTTCAAGAAGAGTATCTTCTGTTTGAGGCTGTGATCTCTCATGATTTTCCTCCTGCATTGATTCATTTGCCTTATTTTCACCTGAAATTGATTGTTTCTGTTCCTCATCAATGAGATTCTTCAGAGTTTCATCTTTCCTCCCCTCCAATTCTGAGTCTGTTGAGAATGTTGTCTCAGCATCAGGAACCAGTTTATCGGTTTTTTCCTTGGCAGCGGCGGACGCCATCACATCGGGATCGGCTGCCATCACGTCTAGTAAGAAGTCGGAACTTTCGACCTCCTCATCCATATTCATGGTGTGCAACTTGCCAGATAAGTGGTCGAGATCACAACTTGCTTCGGTGAATTTGGTTTGAAGATTGTTGTTTTGTATTTCTACATTCTGGTTTAGGCTTTTGACTCTGGCCAATTCCTCCTCCAATTCTTTTATCCTCTTCTTCATGATCTCTGAACTTTCCAACAGACTCCCCTTCTCCTCTTCCAATTGCTGCACATTTGCTTGGAGCACATCTGTTTCTGATTTTAATCTTTTTACAAGAGATGTCTGAGAAGAAACTTCAGTTTCAAGTGTCACAACCTTATTTACAAGTTCATCAATCTTCTCAGCCAGCTCAGAAATAGTGAATGAACTGTTTGAATTCATGTTGAGTAGATCCCTGATCTTGGGGTCGAGGAGCTCTATAGCTTGTCTTTCTTCTCCCATGGCAGCAAAATGTTGGTCTGAGGTTTTCAGTTCAGGTTCAGTGGTTAGATCCTTCTGTAAATTTGTGGATTCGTTATGGTCTGTTGGTTTTGGAAGGAACTTATGTTTGAGGCTCTCAAATTTTGTATCCACAAACTTGATTCTGTTCTTCTCTTGTCTTGCTTCTTCAACCGTTTTCTCCTGTTCCTGTTGCAATTTCGTCAGAGTTTCTTGGCAGGATTTTAGAGCTGTTGCTGCCATTAAAGTACGAGCTTCGCTATCTTCAATAACAGTGCCAATGCCGAACTCGTCCTGCAAGTTGCAGACTCTTTTTTGCATCGTTGTGATACTGTTTTCAATCTCAAAATATTTCTCGCACTCGCGTTCGTACAAGCTCTTCACAAATTCCATTTCGGTTTGTTTAGCCAAAATTTCTTTCTGTAACTTATCGATTTCTTCCAGTGCTTCAGTTTTGTTGAGCCCAGATTTTGGAGTTGAAATAGCTCTATTACTAGAACTGCTTGAAATTCTCCTCAGTTGTGACTTCTTTATCATGGAAGGAGTTCTAAAACCCCTCTCAGGAAACTTTGGAACCTCTGGAATTCCTGGTTTTGGCGAGCCGTCCAATTCGCTTGAAAACTGGTGAGGACTATTGGCAGAAGGAGATTCTCGAGGGAAGAATTCTACCTCGCAGTCGTCGTCATCAATCGTGTAATGAACTCGTTCGGGAAAGATTGAAGCTATCGTTCGATTTGCTCCTTGAAACTCTTTCGATAGGTGATCATATCTCTCTGCTAGGGCTCGATATGCCCTATAAGATTCTGAGACATGTTCTACCAGTTCAGGCCTCTGCCTGTAATACATTTCAGCTCTCTTTGCAAAAGAATCCCCATCGCCTTCGATGATTCTCATCATGCTATCAACCTTCTCCTCCATGTCTGCGATTGCAAATCAATCCAAAGATCATTTTAAAATCACTAGCAGCTAACGATATTGCAATAAGCGATACATGTCGTATCATCGAGCGCAGATTGCGAAGAAAAGAAAATCAATCAGACAGAGGGTGGTCATTCCAGTCCAATCGAATCAATACACCAAAAAACGCTACAATTTACGAATTGATCATGAAAGCAAAACATTCAATACGCTCCAGATTGAAATCCATAAAACCACATGGACGACGTAGGAGACTCTCCAGAACCGAATCAATTTTAGAAAGAACAGGGATTCATCTCGACAATGCAGAAGCGAAACAAAAATTGCAGAAAGAAGAATTATGGCTAAACGTACCGTGGAGGTTCTGTTCGAGCCATTTCGACTGCTTGGTCCTGATGTGACTGGCCCACCACCACGAATATGCATTACTTGCAGCTCTCTGCAACATCTCTCTCTCTCCGTCTACAGAATCGCAGAAGATCCAAACTCCATTTGAAGAGAACAACCGTCGATAATGATAACGATGAAAACAAGAAACCCGCAATAGATCACAAACATCAGCAGCAGCAACGGGCTACAGTAATGGAGGACAAGAGGATTGGATTGCAACTCTCAGAATCATAAGCATCACGTCTCCTTCTTCTTGCTGCTTATACAGAATCGAAAAACGAAAAGAAAATCGTGGATGAAGATGAAGATGAAGATGAAATCAAGAAACGGCGCCAGCGAGCAATGGAGAAGAGGGAAGTTGAGAGAGAGATCACAGACGGAGCCTCCAGTCATGGAGGAGAGGATACAGCGGCTTGTTTATAGGTGTTGGGAATGGGGGAAGACCAAGCCTTTCAATCTACTGCCACGTGGCAATGCCAGGTTGGCTTATTTTTTCTGCTTCACTCTCTCTCTCTCTCTATTCTGTTTTCTGTTTTCTTTTTTCCTTCTTTTTTTTAATGTCTTGTAAATAAAATTGTTCTAACTTCTAATCCAACCAGTTTCTTCCCCTTCTCAATCTTCTAATCTACCATAATTTATTGCTAAAAAACCACTTACTATTTTACCTTTCAGACAAAAACCACTAACCATTTCAGTTGTCTTTGTTAAATCACTAATTTAATTTTATGGTAGATGGTTATACATACTTTGTGCATCTCTCTCAACTTTTTTTTAATATTAATATATATTCTTTTTAGGAATTATAACTCTGATCTATTAATCATAGACATGTATCAATTCCATATAATCATTTTCTGTTTTTTTAGATTATTCTAGTTTTTCTTTTTCATATATCTTAAAAATATATCTGAATTTTTAGCAAAGTTTTTTTTTTCAAAATTGACCTAAATTTAAAAATATTTATAAAAACTGTCTAAGAAAAAAAATCAACACTTGTGTGAGTAATTATTCATTTTTGTTTCAAACAGGTGAATAAAATAACGGAAGATCTGTGGTGGACCTTCTTGGGCCTCAACTCAGAGGGCTTATGAAAAATTTTGGCCCGATATTATTGACGCAGCAGCCCTGAACTCGGCCCTGAAATATTGGGCCAGGTTTAATGTAGCAAAGATTATTAATGCTGAGAAATTGTGTCTAGTCATACTAAGATTACACAAATGTCCATTTTCTTATATATATTTATAAATTTAGAATCTCAAGATAAATAAGTTTTATTTTTCTAAATTATTATATTTTAAAATTTATTATTTTCCGGCGAGAACTGAGGCAATTTAATGTAAATATTTATATTAATAATTAAATGATAATATTTTAATAAATAATTAAACAAATATAGTAACTAATCATACACTTATTCTTGTTTAATTTTCTGGCATTTATTCTTTACATTTTTCGGTGTATATTATTTTCTTGCGATCTATAGTGTAGGATTTATGGTTCTATTTCTTTATTAAAAAGAGAAATTGTTGGTCTAAGGTTTATGAGGTAGAGTTCGGGGTTTTATTTATATATTAAAAATAGGTGAATATGGGTACCTTGTTAATTTTTATATAGGTCCATCATAAACATAAACGAACTATCTATTTTGACAAATATGTAAATATTAGAGTTTTTAGACAGTGAAGTCCAGTTGTCTGTTACCTGTGTTAATGCAACAACTCCCAAATTAGGCACTTGGCTTTCGACCTTTTCCGTTGAGTTCTTATAAGTATTCATTTTTTTTTTCTCTCCAATATTACATTGGAAAATAAGGAGTGGGAAATCAAATTTACAATTCATATGGTAAAATTGATGTTTTTTGGTTTTATAGTAATTAAAAGATGAATAAATTTATCTATATTTAGATTAGATAGGTAAATTACTATATTTTAAAAAATAAAAAATAAAATAGAATTATGGTGGAAAGTTAAGAAATCAAATGAAATAACATAGATAATGTAGTTTTATTTAGTATAATAAGTATTATTGCGAGTCCGAAGAGACAATTAGTAAATGTCTTTATAACTATATATTCATGTTGACCATAAATAATGTAGATGGTGGTTATAATGTACTTTTTTCAACCCATTCTCTCACAATTTTAGCCTTCAAGACTTTAGGTTCTTAAAATGAGTTCAGCCCTTCCACTTTATGGAGAGGTACGAGAGCGTGAAAGTGTCGCAGTATCTACATAGGTAGCTTCTATACGTTTGGGATTGATCAAATTTCTTTGATACCTATCAATATCTAAGTTAATTATCCGACACTTTATTTTCATGAGTTAATTATCCAACACTTTACTTTCGGTAGGAATCTTCGTGAACATTCTAAATTTTAAATTTATAAGAAAGATTATTAGAGTAATAAGATATATTATTAATATGGGCAACACACCTTGGATTGATATTCGAGTATAATTTGATAAATAAAACATATATTACTATAAAAAATGAGGGAAAAAAGGGTTAAATCATGTAAATGTGTATGTGTCCTGAAAATAAATATCATACGAGAGTGTACAGCTGCCATTTCGCCGACGACTCGCCGTGAGCTGAAGATGGAGGCCTTGGGCAGCTACTCTTTACCCACCGCAACCGCATTTGCCTTCTCTAAACCCTCCGTTTCTTCTTCTAAGCCGCCATTTCTCACCTTCTCTCGTCGAGCCATGCCGGTGTTTGGGGTTCTCAGTGCATCTCGCACCGCCGACGCGGCGCCGTCCGTCGCCGACTCGCCGGACAATCACGCCGACAAGGAGGTCAAGCTTTGGGGCGGCCGTTTCGAGGAGAGCGTCACCGACGCAGTTGAGCGATTTACCGAGTCGATCTCCTACGATAAGCAGCTTTATAAGCACGATATCAGGGGGAGTCGAGCTCATGCTTCTATGCTAGCTAAGCAGGTTTGTTTTGATTTCTCGCCTTCGTCAGAATGTGTTCGTTCTGTTCATTTCTCTCTTTTTGATTGTTGCATTTCATTTGATTCCACTACTATCTGGAAAAAGAATACAAATGCGATTGATTTCACCTGTTTTAGGTAATTTTGTTGTCTTGTCATTGCTGTTTCATATGTTGAAGTAAGTTGATTCAGGAATGCGGACACATTTGAACTCCTTAAGCTTATTGTAGTTTATCAGTTGGCTTGTTAATTGAATCTTTGAGTATTTTCCTTTTCGCTTCTTTAATGAATTGAAACTTATTACTTTAGGGACTGATGAGTGTTGATGAGAGGGACAGTATTCTTGAAGGTTTGGATGAAATTGAGAGGCGGATTGAAAGTGGTGAGTTTGTTTGGAGAACAGATAGGGAGGATGTTCACATGAACATTGAGGCTGCCCTGATTGATATGATTGGTGAACCTGCAAAGAAGCTGCATACTGCTCGGAGCCGCAATGACCAAGTTTTGACTGATTTTCGATTGTGGTGTCGGGACGCAATTGATAAGATATTAGATGCTATTAAGTACCTTCAGGTTTCCATGGTAACTCTGGCATTGTCGAATGAGGGATTAATCGTTCCGGGTTATACGCATTTACAAAGAGCACAACCCGTTCTTCTCCAGCATCTGCTCTTAGCATTTGTTGAGCAGGTAAGGTTCTTCTAATGAAATTACTCTGTTTTTATTTGCCTAAACCAAAGAGCTTATTGTTTACAACTATTAGGATAAGCAAAGAGTGATGTGGGGGTAAATAGACAACATCTACATGCATGAATATTTTTTATTCATTGCGATGGTGCTAGCAGTAGCACTATGCTACAACTTGATGGGGCTAACTCTAGCCTAAAAGAAAATAGAAAATTCTTAAGGCTTGAACTTGTTAGGATTATTACATAAAGCATAAGCTGCATAACAATCAACCTTACTCATGGATTCTTAAATAAAATGTCGTTCTAGGCAGTTTATTTATTCTCTCTAAAATTAAAATCTCTTGAAGACTTGATTGTTTTAAAATCATTGTTTTATAGCTTGAAAGAGATGCTGGTCGTTTATCGGATTGCAGAGTTAGGCTAAATTATTGCCCACTAGGTGCATGTGCGCTGGCTGGCACAGGCCTTCCAATTGATCGTTTTATGACTGCTGATGCTTTAGGGTTCACTGCCCCCTTGAGAAACAGGTACGAAACTTCATTTCTTTCTCTCTTATTATTATTATTATTTATTTATTTATTTATGGTAAGAAATAGATATTTCATTGATGATATGAAATTTACAAAAAGGATTACAAAAAAGGCCTTCAAGCTTGTCAAGAGATCATTAAGACTATAATTACTAATTAGTAAAAGGGTAATAGAAACATCTACACCAACCAAGAGATACAACCATAACTCTGTCAAAAAAAATCTTATTTGAAAGCTATAGAAGTTACTAAAGATGCTGTTTTTATTTGATATATTATTGAAAGTTGTTTTATATATGTATGTGTCTATGGTAGTCTATGGTAGTTTATAATATATCAGTGTGCCAATTTCTTTTTGTCTTTGCTTTCTTGTTCCAAATTGTTCTCAGGTTGTTAAGAAGCTGACTAAAAAATTTTCATACACACACATATTGCCGCATTTATATATATAGCTCTATTATCTCCTACACTTTGATAAATAATTTTGGCCATAAAACAGCTTTGGAATGAGACCAATTTCCATATTAGGAAGTAAAAAATCTTCAGCTGATCCTGCTTTCACTTTGCTTTAGGGAATTTTAATGACTTTCTTTCCCGCATCTGGTTTTGTCAAATCAGTAGTAATGTATAATGTCCGATTATCTTTACAGCATTGATGCAGTTTCCGACCGAGATTTTGCCTTAGAGTTTCTTTCTGCCAATGCCATCACTGCTATTCATCTTTCAAGGCTTGGAGAAGAATGGGTGTTGTGGGCTTCTGAAGAGTTTGGATTTATAATGCCAAATGATTCCGTTTCGACCGGAAGTAGCATAATGCCTCAGAAGAAAAATCCAGATCCAATGGAACTTGTTCGTGGGAAGTCAGCTAGAGTCATTGGAGACTTGGTCACCACTCTCACCTTATGCAAAGGTCTGCCTCTGGCCTACAATCGTGATTTGCAGGTAAAATCTTTTTACGTTTTGTTTTGACCTTGACCATTTGTTATATGTAGGAGAAGGGAACATTTGCAAAGCAAATTTTCTTGTGATTTTAATTCCTCGGTGAATGCTTCGTTTTCTTAATGATGTGGTTTTTAATACGAAAAACGTTCCTATATTGAATAGGAAGACAAGGAACCTGTATTTGACAGTGTAAAAACAATATTGGGAATGCTTGAAGTGTCTGCTGAGTTTGCTCAGAATATTTCTTACAATCGGGAGAGAATACGGAAAGCTTTACCTGCCGGTTTTCTTGATGCCACAACTCTTGCTGATTACCTCGTGAAGAAGGTTGGTTTGACTTGCAAATATCTTTTTTTTCCTCCTTGTAGGCTACTTGGTGAGAAGCATCGCTAGTGATCTTTCTCGCCATCTATATCCTTTAGAATCCTGAACACATTTCATTTATAAGAATACTTGAAAACGAATAAAAAGTTTTACTATTCTTTTTTTGAATAAGAAAAAGGTGATATATAGAAGGAAAAGAACAGCCTAAAGGCGAGGGGAAGAGAATGCCCTGCCTCACAAAAACTAAAGAATGATAACTTTTCAATAGACTGTAGTTACAAAAGAAAACCTTGTGGTTTAAGCACCAAGTTAGAAGCAGTAATGTGTACACAATTACAATTCTCAACCACCATGGATTAGTGGATTGCCCTAGTGACACCAGAGGTCGTGACGTTTGGGGAAATGGGTTCAAACGGTAGCCATCTATCTAGGATTTTAAAATCTTATGAGTTTCTTCACAACTTAACGTTGAAGGGTGAACGGCTGTCCCATGAGACTAGTTAAATGACCTTGTTTTTCATCTTCTAAGAAAAGAAACGAGAAACTAACATCAAATTTATGGCCTGTTTTACTGTATCAGGGAATACCTTTCAGAACAGGTCACGACATAGTTGGGAAGTGTGTGGCCTTGTGTGTCACAAAGAATTGCTGCCTCCAGGACTTGAGTCTCGATGAGCTAAGAAGCATAAGTCCAGTATTCGAAGCGGATGTTTACGAGTTTCTCGGCCCCGAGAATGCCATTAATAAATTTTGTTCATATGGTTCCACAGGAGCAGCCTGTGTTGCTACTCAACTCGAATACTGGGTTAATAAACTCCAAATCGATCAGCAGTAGACGACCTGGTTTTCTGAGCAATCTGGAAATGGCGGTCTTCCTGCAACATTCTTAAGAAGGTATAAATTATAGGTACTGAGAATAGGTGTGGGTTAAAATTAAGATACGTTATGGCTTCTCTATCAAAGGAAAAAGAATTCTGTATGAATGTTTATTGCCGAATTTTTGCTCTGCTCTAAACTGAAATTTGATGCTTGCTTGGTTTTTTATTTAGAAAATTACGAGTTTCTTAAAACCCACATACGTTTTTAACACAAAATTCAAAATGCATCTCAATTTTGTGTCTAATACTTTTGAAGTTTATACATCTACTAAAACAATTTAAATAATAAAATTTAAAGATATTAGTTATAACTCAAGTAGCATGGGGTACGGAGAATTCCGTATAAATTTGCAAAGAAGTCATCAAAGTCATGTTGACATGAAAAATGTGGAATCAATTCTTTCTTCGTTAATATAGTTAACAAAGTCTACAAAACTACATGAGAGTAACGATTATAATTATAAGAATCCCAGGGGAAAAAAAAGATTCCCATCCACAGTGGATTAGTATATGATGAATCAATCATTCTAAAATACACCAACACAACAAATCCTTCCAAACTTATCTACGGTGCATTTGGCCGCCGTTTTCTTCACCTGCGGCCACCGGAAAATGACGTCACAAAGACAGGACCACCTATTTTATTTTACCGGTTGCAATTCTCTTTCTCGTCCACTCTCTTTGGAACAGTAAGTTCATGCTGCTCTTTGTTGCCGCCGACTGAATCTTCCGGCTGATCGGAGTTCCTCTCCCTCAGTAAGTTGCCGCCGTTAGCGGCAGCGGATCGCATGGCTCGGGGAAGTTTCAACGGGATGTTGACAACCTCACTTGGTTCGGTCTCTGTCTTCTGGGTGGTGGCGGTGGTCTCAGAAACTGGTGGTGTAGGAACTAGTTGG